ACTCTTCGCCTTGTTAGGAGTTCTGGCGCATTCTGCTGGAATGGAGCGCTGAACAAGGGGAACTTGATGCTAAGAGCGGAGGTGTCTACTGTAGGAGGTAGTACACAGATACATTCCGGATCGCGCTGGTTATCCGTCTTCGTTGCGTATAGCTGTATAACTAACGCCGTGAGGCTGGCCTAGTATTTCTATTTGTAGACTCTCAAGAAGTGAGCAGCATCCACTCGGGCTTCTCGACACTGACAACTTTGGTTGATAGGCTTCTGGATAGCAAGTGCAAGTGTGGCGCGAAGGAACAGCTTATACTGTGCAAGGTAAGATCTGAAAAATTTCTTGTACACATTTCTGCCGATCTATAATTAGTCTCGTCTCGAGCATCTTATTAGCGACGATGTGAAGAGAAGGCGATGTGCTGTTAACAGAGGCAAGTTGGCTGCTGCAGGGTGAGTGGCGAAAGGCCTGGCATTATCAGTGTTGGTGTGGGAAAACATGTACATGATTAACTACATGTGTTGCAGAAGATATGGAAATTTCGGGAAATTCTTGTCGGTTTCTCAACACCTCTACTGCAAGCTTCTAAAATATGTGAGAAATCGCCTGAGCTCAGCTGAGGAAAGCGAACATCTATTCTGATTAATTTTATCGGGAGGGTGACGAAGTTGTATTGACGTTCCAAATGTTAGGAAAGCACGTCTATTCTCAAGTAGCCACTTACAATAGGAAAACTTCGCGAATTTTGGACGTACATCGTAACATGGACTTCCTCCTTCGTGGGTATAGCGGTTTATCGAAGAGTCTTAGCGGTTTATCAGTCAAGCTGCGCTCCGGATATTATCGGACGACTTATCGGTAGCAGTAACCGAAGCTCGAGGAGAGCTGAAGCGTTCTGAAGCACGGCTTGACGAGGAAGAACGGTTTGCTGGTAGTATTCAATCGGAATGGGTGGGAGCAGGATGGCGATGCTTAGGCGAACTAAGAAAGCTGGAGGTTGACATTGAGATGAGAGAGTCTGCCCTCGTTGATCGTCGGGATGAGGTTAAGTGGTAAGTTCAGACTCCTGTCCCTTATGCCTTTCAGTTAGGTTGCTTCGTTGCGAAGCGTGGAGGAATCAGTGCAGGAGAAGTTACGAAAGTGTAAAGGAGAGCATGAGAAGGAAAAGAAAAGTCTGCAAGAGCAGCTGATGTCTCGTCGAGCAACGAAGAGAAAGGTGAACGGGTGCGCTTGCACTCTTACCAATATTCGAATGCATCCAGTGGCCGCCCTAAGACAGGTGCTGCTTTTTCGTCAGAAAAACGTGAAGCTAGTGCGTGCGAGTAGTTCGCAGTCAGGAATTGTGCTTTTTGAATCGGTCCTATTGTACTGCCATTCAGCTCAACGCTGCTATGAGTGCGGCCAAGTCGAATCTCGCTACAGTGCGTCGCCGAGTTAGGAGCTGCCAGCACTCACTGGAAGTCGCTCATTCCGATTTAGATGTCTATGAGAAAGTGCTTGATGAGGTTAGTAGCTCCTGAGGGGAGCTAGCGTTTATGCGTGCACCTCTCCCACAAAGGGGCGGTCGTTAGATCGTACTCCTCGCATTACGGTGCATTGAGAAACTTCGGTCGGGGTATGTTGGCATTTCTATATTTCCTAGGTTCCCGACATTATGACCGACCTTACAAATGGCGAACGAGAAACATGGCAGAAGGTGAGCGTCACGCCGTCTCGGTGTGCAATCGGGCTATGAAGACCAAGACGATAGGCTTAGCCTTCTTGTGAGGAGCTGCTTTTGCTGTCAGCGAGAGGATTTGGAACGCCAATTGGTGGTGACACTGGACAGACTGAGCGGAACCAATCACCAAATGGGGTCTGTGAGAAGTACCAGAGCTCATGGAATCGACGGTCGTAAGGATTGCTTACGGCGAGAAAAGAATGTAGGGGAATGCGCCAGCACACTTCATCCTGGAGCTCAGGAGCTGGACCAACTCGCGCAGCACCTTGACGTGATGCAAGAGTATATTGGCGACTTTCGACAGCGCAGACAGAGTGGGAGTTCTGTGGCAGGGAAGGAGACAGTAATAGCATTCTGGGATGGTCGGATCGGTCTGCTATCGGCTCAGGCGGTGCCCGATGAGAGTTTGGATGAACTTGCTCAGATGGAGCGCGGCTTTTTCGCGAACGCAGCGCAACTGCAGGTAAGATTATTTCGTGGAGAAATCAGAAGCCTTTCGGTGGGCTGGTGTTCTCTCTGTAGCATATCAGGCTAACGAAAGGGAGTTGGAGGCGCTAGCGAGAAAAACTGATAAGTTGAAAGAGGAGCTTATTGCTAGGCATAAGAGGAAGGTCGGGCACTATTGCGGTCTGTGAAGTTTTCAAGCGGCGGATCGCCCCTGGACTCTAATGGGACGCCGGTCTGTGTTCAGACTCAAAATCGTGATGGGTGGCGGCGGACTGCTTGTCGAGAATGAAGAAGTGAACATAATGTGCTCATAGGAGCATCGCATGATAGTTTTTGCAGCACGATCATTTTTGTACGACATGATGGCACGCAAGCAGCCCTCTGGTTTCCCATTCGAATTGGCTTGCGTTGGGCTGGGCCATAGTCGGTTCGTGGGTGGTCGTTCATTTGGGGACTGTGAAGGCGATTCAGTCGCTGAAGTAGTACTACTCAGCGGTCGGCTTTGTTGATAGGGGATATTCTTGCTGTGCAGTTGGGTGGTATCTGATTACTTGATCGTCTCCGTGTAAAATGTCTGCTATTTTCGATGACATGTTCGATGTTAAGAACATCGATGATGAGAAGTTTGACCGGGGTAGTCTCTCCGATTGTCGCGAACCTCACCAGTGTTCCCTTTAGTGTCTCGAATCAAGGCGCAGTCACACACTTACAATGCAGAGATTGAGGTTGACATCAACACCGAGATCTACCCAATTGGCAGCAGTGACACGGTAGTCTGGATGTTGGTCATTTTCATTGTTTGTGGTGATGATGAGCTAGATATTATGTGAAGAGAGGCGTTCGTGAGTTAAGTATGTTGCTGTCTTCAGTTGCGAATCGCTATTGCCTCGGCCGCTGACGCCAATGAGGGCTACCAGGGAGAGTCTGCCCAGCCAGGTATTATTGACGATTACGAGTATGCTATGTACGGCAAGGTAGTGGCGAGGAAGAATCTAGGGGAGTGAAGACTATGAGCATTCTCAGGTTTACAAGAAGATGAACAAGACTGTGGGAACTGAGACCGTTGCTTCGCGCACTATCATGTAAGAATTGAGTCAAGCAGTCATGGGTGATTGTGCCGCGCTGATTTTGGAAAGGTTTTGATGTGGAGAGTCTGGTTGTAGATACGTCTCTTTTGGTGGACTTCTGATGAAGTTGGAGGCACAGAGGAGCGATGTGGACGAGTCTATTCGTCTCGATGATCGTCTCTACCTCCTCATCAGGAAGGTCTATTGAGTGGCAGCTATTACTACTCTGAATGAGTATGTTAACGTTCCTCCAGGCTCACAAGTTTTGCGCAGTGTCCAGTAAAAGGGGTGTCGTTTATTCTATTGGCTCGCTACCCATCAGAGTTCGCGATCGCTAGTGTACTTGAACACATCTGTGTTCACGGAGAGTTTTGTGCCGTAGCCTTGAATAAGAATTCACATTGTGATTCCCTTTTTCGCACAATGCACTGATACATCACACGTCCCACTATTATAATCTGGATCAACCGTTCATCATCATCACTACGCACGTCACCATTATCGCCAACGCTCCGCCCATCATGCGGGGATCGTTACCACCGGCATCGTATGAACCTTTCACTTTGCACTCACGTGGAGTTTGGCATCTGGCAGTGCCAGACGGGCACTGATTCGCACGGCCGAGTTCGTATGTTGTGGCGCTGCTATGCCCGAGTGAGTAGTGTCTTGACGGCAATCGCCAAGTACATATTCTAATTGCGAGCTCTGTTTCGTGCGCTGAATCATTGCCATATAGGAACGGTGAAGGAGACGTGTCTTGCGAGTTAGGCTCGCACTCCCGGAGGTCATTCATAAAAGTATTCACTCTCAGGAGGTTGGAAGCACTTGAGGTTTCCATGGAGGCCTGTGCTGACTCAGAAATCGTAACGTTACTTGGCAAAAAATCAACTCAATTCTGTGAAAGTGAATGAAACACTCAAATCGAGCAAAAGGAGATCGTATACGTTAACCAGGGATATCACAATTACTTGGCGGACCTCTCCCCCAGATCGTAGAGGTTCTCGACATAGTTCTTCTTATCTCGACGGTGGATCACATGCTCAGTACGCGATATTTGGATCTCGGAAAACCGTGTCAGCACCTCTCGCACTACAGGAAGTCTTGAATGGTCGGTCGAGAGGGCGTCGAGGGCGAAAGCGATGGCCTCGGCGGTTGACAATAGTCCTGCGTTCGCAAGAGGCTCTTTCCGAATCACGAATGCTCCTTCCTTCTCGGGCTTCAACACCCACTTGTGCTTGAGGGCGACAAGTGGCGGTGATGATGCATACATCTCCTTAGCGTACTTCCATGTGGCATCAAGGAAAATAAGATGCCGTATTTTGGAGTCACCACTGTGCTGAGCGTGAACCGTCTCGGCATCGTCAGTGGGGTAGATCAAAGCACATTCTTCAGGATTCTTCAGCACCACCTGAAGCGGAGAATCGATCGGCAATGTGTCGGCTAAGATGCGACGACCAACAACAACGTGAACGCCTCTGAGACACTTTGTGGCGACCAAGTCGACGGTGCGGTTTTTTCGCTTCCGCTCGCTAGGGTGCATGAGAACAATGACAGAATCGACTCCTGCTGGCAGCGGCAGAGGCTCTGCTGGAAAGGAGCTGCAGATGCAAACGGATTCGGGCCGCTCGCAACCCGAGCATATCACTCGACGCTTCTTGGTCGGGGCTTGTGACATGTCGATGAACAACCACTGCCAAAATCGCCATAGTCATCGGGGATTTGCTTTAGAGAAACAAGTTACAAGTCAGAGATGAGGTCACAGAGGTCCCGGGTTCAATTCCAGGAATTGATATTTCTATTAATTTTTTCGGTGCTTGCGAAATCACAGAAGACATGAGCTCTCAGGGCGTGATAGTAGTATATTATATGAGAGAGGCATAGCGAGTCTTCCACTTGTAGGTTAGTGTAGCATGCTCTGTCAGAACGTCTCCACCATGCGCCACGTTTACCATTCAAGGCCTATTCGCTAAGTCGTCTGCGAAGTGAAATATTTTCACCCGAATTTCTTGCGAGTGATAGGCTCGAGGGCAGCTACTCCTCCTGTCGTTTTGAATTATAAGCCAGGACTCGTCCAGTAGTGTGTTGATCAACGTTAACCTCGTTCGTTGTAAGTGGCAGACTGTCAGTTATTGACTATGGAGGATTCACGACTAATCTCATTACATGACCATCTGTCGGAGGGGATGAGCAAACGTGGTCGTCGAGGAGGTCTGGGAAGAGTGAAGGGAACTCCTGGTAGGGCTTGTCGACATACCTACGCGGGTGTATTCGGAACCCTCAGGCACGACCGCAGTGTTGCGAACTAAACGATTCGAAGATCAGCACATGCCTGACAACCGTCTCTATCGAGGGTAGTAACGGGGTTACTTACGTGACTTCTATTTGAACTAACATAAGCTCACATCATTTTCGGTTTCTCCTTGAGTCAATTACCTGTTGACCTCAGCTA